TATTGAGCTCAATGTTTTGACTGGTATCATTTAAATATAAAAACAGCAAAACTATGCAAAGGATCTATGGTATTAATGCTAAAAATTAAGGTCTTGTTTTGGGTAAAATATACATATTTTTGTGAAAATCTGATTTTAAATTGATTTTTTTGAATAAATGTTTGAACACTTGGATTTTCTTTGAATTAAAAAAAAAGAGATTAAAGTAAAAGCAATAAATTTTTAATAGCCAATAGTAACAAGAAAATAAAATAAAACAGAGTCTGATGTCAAGACAGTTATTTATTTTTTATAATTTCAAAACTTTTCTACTTGTAGGTTTATTATCTATTCTTTTTCTTTTTAAATTGTCAGTCTTTTCAAAACAAATATTATCTAAAACTGGTTTAGCAGTTGTATTGATAATTAAGCGGAGTACTGTTAATGAATGAGGTGAACATTGAAACATTTTGTTATTTAGCAAATAAGGATAAATAGCCTCACTCAATTGTTGACAAGTTTTTGTTGTTGTTATGTAAGGTAGRATTTCCTGTATTATATCTGCAACTCTTTTGATGAGTGATACAAATGGTCGGCTAGGATAAAGTAATCCACCATGGTCTTGAAGTACTATGASCTTCATTAGAGGTCCTGGGACTGTTTGCGACATTAGTGGAGTAAGGCATGCATCACAGTGGAATGTATCATTAATTTTTTTAACAATATATCCGGCTAAGAAAGCAACAGAAGCAGAATAAATATCCTCTTCACATTCAACGTCATCATGCAAGCTTTTAAGTTGGATCTCCACTTCTTTGGGTAGTGTAAGTTTCAAATTTGCTCTGTCCAAAATTTGCATCGTGGGCATTAAATTAGTGTGGCTGATAAAGGTCACGTCATGAGATATATTTGCCGATTTTGATGCTTTGACAATGCCACATTTTAAAATTTGTCGTACAGCATACTCCGCTGCTCTCGCATCAGTTGCGTCATTACAGCCTCCTTTTAATCGTACATGAGAAAACATTCCCTCAAGAGCATCACTGCTGAAMGATCTTGTAAGTACATAATAAAATCCAACCTGGTCTAAAAGAAATTTAATTGACAAATATGTACTTTGGGCTGTGAATTTTATAGCATGAGCGGTTTCCTTTGATAGCCCCTTTAAGCAAGCCTCAGAAGAACACTTTTGGATGTCATCAATGTATTCAGGGAGAACATTATTTAGCCAATGTAAACGCTGATCTGATATGTGAGTATAAGGGGCAACAGAACTATCTAGTGCGCAGATATAGTGTGTTTTATTTGAGACATTATGTATTTGGAAAAAGTAATACATATTCTCCATGAATTTTACCGTGTTCCCTACAAGAGAAAACTCGTCATTTCCATTTTCTTGTAAAAATTTCAACGATGTGGTCACTGCTGGCGAAAAGATCTGAATTGCCCTTAACACATTCATTTTCTCGAAATTTGAAGGAAATAAATGTTTTTTTGATAAATATCTTACTGGTTTTATTGGCATTTCTTTCTGAAGTTCGTATAAGGTTCGTAAATACGACGATGAAATCGTACCTTCTGAAGTGCACATATCACCAGCCAAAAACCAATTTCTAACATTTTTTAAAACGTGACAAAAATCGAAACTTAAAAAAATTGGCATATTTTCTAAAAATGGATGGTCAATTTGGTGTTTCATTAATCCTCCACCGAGGATTTTAAAAAGTGCTACATTTGAAGATGCATTATCTGTAACGATCCTTAAAACTATAAACCCACAATGAGTTAATAGTTTCAATYCGTCTAACGTTAATTTATGAAAATTTGCTGTTGTTAACATTTCATGGAAAAAATATCCTGCAGGAATAGTGTACTTTGTAGACAATCCGTGTATTACGAAACATAACATTTTATTGGCTATTTTCGGTTTTTCGCTAATAACGTTTGATCGCGAAGTATCGAGTCCAAATACAGTATCTTCACTTCGACTGTAGGATACTTTTGGTTGAATCGACATGTCATCGATGAACAGATGAACAGATTCTTTCAATTGGTTTAAGATTTGAAATTTCAGCACATAAACGTTGTTGTATCAACTCGTTTTTACTATGACATTTTCCCAGGTACCTATTTATTGACGAGTAAGATGGTATTCTAATTACGTTATTGTGGCAAAAATTGTATCCCTTTGGTGACGAATACCTCCAAATAGTACACAACCTTACTGATATCTCCGACCATCTTGGCTTCCTGCTGCCGTAGTTATTTATAATATCGATAAGAAAAACCGCTTTTTCWTCTAATTGCTCCGCGTCCCCTARAATTTTGTTTACAGCAGATAAAACCTTAGCATTTTTCTTTTTCTCTTCATCTATTTTTTTAATTTTTTCATTTGCCCGTTCTAATTTTCTAGTTAAAATTTTAATTTGCCTTTGCATATTCGTAACTTGTTCACACGAAATTAAATTTACTTGCGAGGATTGTGATATTTTTGATTCGTAGTGTAAAGGGAAACAATTTAGAGAAGCTTCTTGGTCAGTACCACCGAGATTAACAGGATTCTTAAAATTGCAAAAGTGTTAAGGAAGGATAATATGAAACAGGACAATTATCTTACAGGTAAGGACAGGAAAGGCACAGCATCTTTGCTTAATTTATGAGAACGTCCTGTACTTGAGCTACAAATATATTTGTTCTCAAAATGTTCGCAACAAATTACCGTGTAATCTGAAATTAGTTTTGTATCTGYAACCATCAYAATAATGTCAGTATAAAAGATAAACATTTACTAAGAGCGTTTACGGAGATAGAATAAATAACTAACCATATTTTTCTTTTAATATGTCAATCCATTGTCGACGCATTTTGAAATTACTGGGAATTTGAAACAATGGTCCATTTCGATTTCCACAAATGAAACACTTTTTGCCCATTATAATTTTTAAGATGCAGCAAAAATGTCGAATGTCGATGAAAAATTGAAAAATGAATCCTTTTAACTGTCAAACATGACAAGATGAGACCTAATCTCTAAATTTTATTTTTATTTTAATCTACTGATGTCGCTAGTAGAGGAACGTTTCATGGATTGCTTTCTAGGCCCGCAAATTTGATGCTTATGGAAAGGCCGTATACGCTAGTATGAATGGAGTCGGCGATGGTTTAGAGGTCTGGATTCCCCACACACCGACAGGTGGCGCTCTGCGCTATCACTGTCCCATCTTCAAAGGTGAATTCAAATTTTACAAAAAAAAACAAGTTTGCTTATAGAAATTTAATTATCTCTTTAATTAATTTACTAAGAACTTGTTTAATTTTCAAAATTCAAAAATATAAAAAATTTAACATAAATTCTTACACTGTGATTGTATAAAATTCAGGGTACGCACTTAAAGTTGCAGTAATACGAAACACAGTTATCACATTTCTGTCACATAAAGAAATGAGAACACATAAATCAGAATAAAGACAAACGCTGAAGCTTTTAAGCAGAAGATGTATACCGCTTGGGAATTGAAGAATGTTTCACAATTTTTACTGAATTTATTTCTTAAAAAATATCTGCAAACGTAATTAATGTAAGTAATTCAAAATTGTAATTGTAAGATTGTTGTTGCTTATTTGTAAAGTTTACAATAACAACGTTTTGATTTTTATGTTCGTTTTTAAATTATCCCTCTTTAAATTAAAAAAAAACTCTTATTAAGAATTTTTAATAACATAGGAAAATCAAAAAAAAAATTAAATAAAAAAAGCTAATACAAAAAAAGACAATAAATATGTATTTTCAGGTATTAGTTTATTACAAAACTCTCTCTATTTGCGTATACTATACCATCGAGTTTTTTAAAACACACTTATGACAAGTGTTTTAAAAATAGATTTTTCCATTGTGCCGACACACCGAAATAAATGTTGACGTCAATAATTTTTTTGACTAATTATGATTAATCAACCAATTCTAATCCAATTTTAATGGCTGACGCAATTGTACAGGGTGCTGCATTTTGGATGTCCGAATAGGGAATCTCCGAAACTAAGAGGTTTAGCCAAAAACAAGTGATACATTCTGGGGCTCATTTTTTGAGAAAATAATATCGGTTAAAACCGCATTCCGCTATCGTCTTTTGTTTTCAATTTACAGACAAAAGTTGACATTTTGGCGAAATCTAAAAAAAATTCATATCTTCGTTATTATAGAAGATACGGATTTGAAATAAAGATATTATACAGGCACTTTTTTACGAGGAATTTAATAATGTAGTTAACATTTTTTTTAGTTAGTGGTTTAGCTAAACGTGTATTTTCTTAAATGGAAATAATAGGTGCTATGGCAATTTTGAAAAGCTTATTTTTTTCTGATCTAAAAAATATACATTTGTAACAGAATATTTTTTTATAATTATACTTAAAAAGTGAAATACATATTTTGTTTGATAATAGTTGGCCATGGAAAAACTATTTCACTCCAAATGTGTAAATAATAATCAATAAGAGTTTTGTGAACTGTAAAATAGATGAAAAAATTGTTAAAATTATAACAATTTAAAAAATACGATATGTTAGAAGTATTGAACAAATATACGAGCGCCTCAGAACAAAATTATTACATATTTTCAAAAAATCCAAAAATAGGAAAAACAAATGTGTCAACAGTCAACACAATTAGAAAAAACATTTTTTTGATGATCTAATGAAGGTAGGAAAACGTTCCACATAGACGGAATTTGGGTATTTGAATAGCCATATCGTCATTTTTGTGTCATATAAAATATATGTTATTGAAGAATCAAAGCGGTTTTTTTACAACACTCTACGTATCACTAGAAGTTACAATGGTAATGTTAGCTTGTTTAAAAACAAAGAAATGCTCTTAGTCGCCAATAAGTTGATTTACGATTTATTTTGCATTTTTTTCATTACTTAGTACTTAGAAAACTCTTTCATTAGTGACACTGGTTGAATAATATAGTTTAAAACCTTTTAGTTGAAGATGCAACATTTTTTCATGGCCAATTGTGAACAAAAATCAAAGATAATTTTTTGCTAAAAATGTATTATAATAATTTCTTACAAATATATATTTTTTAGATAAGAAAAAAACAAGCTTTTTAAAAATGATATAGCCATCTATGATTCCCAAATAAAAAATACAACTTCATTTTATTACGGCTAAAAAAAACACCTGAAAAAATTGTTAAGTACATTATTAAATTCTACGTAAAAAAGTGCCTGTATATATGCCTGTATATGTCTTTATTTCAAATCTGTATCTTCTATAATAATGAAGGTATGAATTTTTTTAGATTTCGCTAAAATGTCAATTTTTGTATATAAGTCGAAAACAAAAGACGATAGCGGGATGCGGTTTTAACCAATCTTATTTCCTCAGAAAATGAGCCCCAGAATGTATTACTCGTTTTTGGCTAAACCTCTTAGTTTCGGAGATTCCCTATTCGGACATCCAAAATGTACACTTGTGTGTCACCTTAGCAAATAAAAATACAAGTTTGTGAACTTACCATCAATTTCTCGAAAGGCAAAGCGGTAAATAATGACCCAAAAATTATAAAGAAAGGCTAAGGAGACGACCATGGACCAGTAATAGCACAGTCTTCCCGCAGGATCAAAAACGAACGACCAATTTGCCGACCCTGTTCGTAGCCTTGAACTGTACGATTCACCTCTCCTAAATCCGTACCGGCTGAAACAGATAAGCCATCCTCAATGCAAAATACAAAGTTTGCCACAGCAGTGCAAATCCCACCGCCGAATGTCAAATATACCTAGATTGCGATTTAACGTAAAATCCGCTGTATTGATTTCACAGAAATCAAGTTATAACCATTTCTGGGCGCAATTGGACGAAAACTCACCTTTCTGTTCCGTTACAACTGCTTGTTGAATTGAGATGATTGGTGGAGGGAGGATTGGTTCCAGCGGTGGAACCCGGAGCCGTCCTCCAAGCACCAAGAAGCGGCGCTTCTCCGGAACTGGCTAGAGTTACACTCGTAGGCAATTTCAATCGACCTCTCAAGTCTTTTCTTCGAGCTTTTCTTGACAGATCCAATTCACTCGCCGCCGAACTAACATTCGCTGCTCTATTGATGTACGACGTTGAGATGCTATCGTGAGACGATGAAAAGTAACGTTGTTGATGGTAGCTTTGAGGTTGACGGCTCTTTGACATTCCTAGTTTACAACCGACCAAGTCTGAAATTAACACAAAAAATTCAACAAGTATAATTAAATCGAAACTGGACGTGTGTACGCTTAAAAAAATTCAACTAATTTAAAGTTGAAAACTAACACGCTACAAAATAAAATTGCAAAAATGCAAACAAATTAAATCGACAAGCTGTTGCGTTCAAGTTAATAAATTCTGAAAATTGTATGTCACAAAACGATGGAGTTTTTTAATGATTTGCTGAGAGACTTTCTATTTCCGATATTGAAGCGGTTTTCCACAAATCATTTGCATGTTTGCATGTTTTACAAACTTTAATACGAAAATATTTTTTTGATGTTTTAAATATTTCCATTTGATTCGTATTTGTGTGCATTTTAAAATTCATAAAATTATTTTTGTGATAGTGTTATCACTTGTCACAGTGTTATCATTGTCTAACAGCAAAATCCTCCTTCAGATAAAAGTGAATGTATTTTATATTTTTCGGGTGCTGAATGCGAATTTGACACCCGTTTTAATTTTTGTTGGAGGGATTTTGGAAAAATTGCGCCTGAAGTTCTCAAAATAGTGTTCTCTTTGCAGTGTTCGACTGTTATTACTTTACTTCAGAATTTTTTTTGTAAATAACTCTTAAATAACTTGTTAAAAACCAGTTTTTTGATTCTAATTCAAATTTAATTTTGTAATGCTTGAAAATGTGAATTACGAGGTATGATTTTCGAGATAAATCAAATTGTCTCCTTTGAAAAAGTCAGACCAATAGAAACAAACAAATTTTAAATTTCGATTATGCCTAAAAATCTGTGTCAACAAAACCACTTGAAATCAAAACTTCAAGTGCAAAGTCTTTTTTTCCCGAACATAACCTTAAATTTTGGAGACTTGTTAATTATTTTTCCAATTCGATTTTTGGAGAGGAAAATTAAAAAACTTTCAAAAAAAGTCTAAATATTTTAAAAACGGTTAAATTTACGTATAGGAAAGTCTGATAAAAACTTGAGTAATCCAAAAAGGCAATAGAAAATACACCTTTCTATTTAAAATAACGAAGTTGATACCCATTTCCGGTGTAACCGGAAGTTCTGCCATCTTAAAAATATTTTCATTGAGCAGGATCTAAAAGAATAAAGCTATAATCGAAATTATAGATAAATGTCACTGTTAGAACTCCTTATTGTGGGGTTTAACCGGAACAGCCTGTATTTAAAAAATTCATTCTTCTTATTTTTTTATTTAAATGTAGCTTGCAAATATTTGGAAATAAGTCCATTACCTAGCAGGCTCTGCCTAGAGACAGATTTAAGAACCCGATGGACGCTCTCCGTGCTGGCTTTGTGGGGGGCGGTGGTGGGCGCCCCCCCTTGCATAGGCGGGCTGACATTCAAACACGTTCCACTGCTGCTTAAACGTTCCCCTACCATGCATCCTCCTCCACTTGTGATTATTCCTGGAATTAAAAATGTTTTTAAGTATTATCCTTGTGCTTCATAACTCCGATTTGTGCTTTTTGTAACAAACTGAAACAAGTCAAGCAGAAATTTATTGGCATTCGGAACAGAAACGCTATCTGACTAATAAAAAAACGAAGTTACTGTGACATAATACGAGCTAGTACCGAGGCAAATTGCAAAATCTTCTTGATAAATCTGCAGCTATTTTTTACACAGTTGAAATTCTTGAGCTTTAGTGCACGGTTTAAAGGTTACGAAGCACGCGATGAAAGAAAACAAAGAATAATAACGATGGCAAGTAATTTTACAACAGTTCTCTATGACTGAACAAAAGGAAACACTTCAATCAACCGATTAATTTCCAACATCGAAGCTAAATTCGCCTTGCAACGGAAAGCTATTTTGCGTATTAAATTGTTCGAATTAAAGTGTCAGCCTCATTTTAATGGTAAAAAATTGTCTCTGTTTCGCATCTTTTAAAGATTTTAAAATTAAGATTAACTAAAATAACAATTTTAGATGTAAATAAATATTTATATTCATTAAAATACTAAAAGTATTTTAAATTTTGTAACAAACTTCTAGGGGCAAAATGAACAATTTTCATAAAAATACAAGCATCGGTAATGAAGATTTGCCCATAAAAGGCAGTGTTTCATGTGCGGAAAGCTGACTTTATACATCCTTAGGGTTAAAATATTGCTTTACAAATTTAATTTCTAGACAACAGTTGAGAACTCCACTATATTTAAAATAAACTTATATTAGAAAAAAAAGTATGTTTGTTCCAGCCAGGAAAGCAATTTCACAAATATAATAAGCGAAAGTTTAATTTTAGTAAATAAAATCTTTGTGTAGGAAAATGATGGGTTAAAAATACACAATAAAATTCCTCTTAATAGAATCGATAATCCTCCCACTTGTGCGATATTGGTTAAAATATGTAAATCACATTTATTACCACCTACGTCAAAAACAGGAGTAATTCAACAGAATGAATGAGAAGTAAATTAAAATTAAGTGCTAAGCGTTTTGCACGAGAAAATAATTATAATATAAAATAATTAAAAGCAGTTAATGGTAAAGAGTTGCTCCCGCTATTAATTACCTCCAGATTAAAGAAAAAATCTAACAAATTGCATAAATATTTTTCCCGAAACCGAGGTTAATTAAAAGACGTTTATTTGAAAGAAAAAGTCAATTTCGAATCCAATTTAAGAAAGTTATCTACCCGGCTTTCAAGCAAAGAATTTTTTTCATATTTATAAAGTAATTGCATTTGATTTAGCTCACATTCTAGAAATGGAACTACATACACACTTTCAATAACTCCTAAACAGATTTTATTATTTAAATCCCTCCAGTTTGTAATAAATGAAAAGCTGAATTGCCAATTTACTGAATTAAATTTTTAATGTTTGATGGTCGAATAAAATCGCTGAAACATTAATGTTTCAAATTTATCTTTTGATGAAATTGCGTGCAACTAAATACGTCGGTGTCTGTTTATCTTCTTTACAGTTAAAGCTTTATTCTGTTTGATTACTACCTGTTGAGGCCGCTAAATGGCGTTTTTAGTGTTATTTGAAGTCCAGTCTCTTCGGACAATTTCAAGCGCAATAACAAAATTTAATTAAGAAAACTTAAAAATTATTAAAAAATAATATTTGTGCCGCCTTGACGCGATAGGTGTTACATTAATTTTAAATATCCTTAAGGATGATAACTTTCAACAAATGTCATAATAATTGCAACCTTTGACTTTACGGTGATAAATAATCGTCTTCACGTTGTATATGGCACAAAAGTCCTTCAATTTTTTATTATTTTAAATTCAATGTTAAAATTATGCAGAAATGTGTGCATGTTGAGCCCGGGGGAATCGTTTGGTTGTACTAGTTTACATGTTGGATTATTGAAACAGTCAGCATGAACAATTCTTTGATGTGTATGTTAATTTACTTATTAATGTCTAATATGTATTTCCTAACTATTTAATTTATTTCACCTAATAATTAATTAAATTAATTAAATTCTGAATGAAATAAACACAAGAAAATTATACTTTCAATCAATATGTGGGCCGTGAAGTAACAAAGTGGTTACACTTCTCACTAAGTAATCGGAAACCGGAAGTGGAGTATTTCGCATTAATCCCGTTTTGAGCGGAAACGTTTGACGTTTTTAGCTAACATCGACAGAAATCATTCATAACGTACTGAAAATAGAGCCAAAAGTAAAGTGAACTCGTCAAAATCGCATAAATTATCGCCACTATTTCGGAAAAACATATTTCAATGAAGACAGATTCGACAGTGTAAAGTTGCTCTATTTTTAGCCATTAATTTATCAATTTCAAATGCGATATATCGATCACTTTAAAAGTCACTAGTCCATTAATATGTCCCACTGAGGTTTACTTAAGTAAAGTGCATTTCTATTTACACAATTTATTTCCTTTTTTGGTGGCGAAGAATTAAACCACTTTCATACTCCACTAAATGCCGAGGCAAAAGGCGACATTGTGGGCTTTTACATGAATTGAGTTTAAATTTATTACCAATTTAAATATATCACGGAGACCAGAATACTAAATATAAAAAAATTAAATAAAACAATTTATTGTCAAAATTTAAAAAAGCTGAAATAAAATCGCTTCACAGGCTATGAAAGCAGAAACCAATTTTAATTAACTCACGACCCGTAGTTAATAGCAGGTACGTGCTGTATAATTTCAAGTTGTTCTACCTACACCGCTGGCAATTCAATTTTATAGTTTGCAGAATATCGAACTTAAAAATAAGCAAAATTCACGTAATACCAACTCAAAAGCGATTTAAAAGTCCATGCGATTTATCTTTTTTACTGTTGCCACAAATTAGATAAGATTCTCTTAGATCTCGTAGCTTAAGAAGATATACAGTGACAGTTGCTACTTTACCTAGAAGTTTAACTAAAACTAGGTGCTTAATTACACTCATTAAAACTAGACGCAATGGACTAATGACACCCTATATTATAATTACAGTAACCGGCGAAAAGTCCCCTTGAATACCGTTAAAATGACTATAGTATTAAAAAAAATAATAAAATGTGGAGACTTTGACTAAAAACTGATGGTTATAGCTACTGTTAAAAATGTTAAAAGTGATTATTTTCAACACATATCAAATTTACAATTTAATCTTTGTCATCCAATTATAAGCGTCTTTTGCGATATAACTTCTCTTCCTGCTGTCATGCACTGAAGTGATTAATTTTCTCGTCCTCATATCAAATATTTTTTTTTATTTATTAATTTACTAATTTTTTAATTTCTATTTATTAAGTGCTTTTCGAAATAATCTAATCAGCATCGAATAAATTTTTGAATTTTACGAAAACATTTATTTTGTATTGACAATTTTACTCGTTAAATTTGGAAATTTATATCCAAAGATTAAGCCCCCTAGCCACTCAGTCGGGCTATTTCCAAATTCAACTCGCCAAATTGTCATCACAAAAAAAGTTTTCGTAAAGTTCAAAAATTTATTCGATAAAAAACGATGATCTTGTTATTTTACCTACCATAAATCCAATAAAATATAATAAAATTCTACGTAATAATAAAAAAAACTTCAAACAATAAACAATGTTTATTTGCGTTACGAGTGTAAGCTGTTTGTTGATTATTTTGTGTTTGTCCATAAGAATTATGGTTGTTTTTATACAGTAATTTTTATGCCTTTAATGAAAAAAGATGTGTATACAGAGTGATTTTGAGTTATGTGCATAATTTTAACAGGCAATAGTAGAGCTCAAAAGAAATCAAAATAACTCAACTTGCTTTATCCGAATGTTTATAGTTTCTGAGATATTGATGGGTGGAACCTCCACATTGGCGTCGAAAAAATATCAAAATAATGCAACATAAACGAATTTTGAACCTTTTACAAAAAAGTGGTAAGTAATGCCCATATATATTTTGTTTTTTTTTGTTTTCACAAAAATATGCACAAAATATTAAGAAATTTGCTCGAAAATATGCCAAATATGCATCGATATGCAAAACTTTTAACAATAAAAAATCAAAGTTGAAATAAATTTTTGTCCTCGAGTACACTAAAGCTTGTATTTTCATCATCTTGAACTTCACACGATGAACGAAAGAGAATAAATAAATTGGTTTTGCCTTAGACAAGCCATTTCAATAACCTAGTAATTAAGCCTTTCTAAGAAATCTGTACTTTTCAGATCACATCACTTTAAACAATTTTGCTAAAATTCATTTGCAGGCAACTACTTATCCACATAGAAGGATTTAATCGTTTTATACCAGGTGAATAAAAAGTATGGGACCAAACATTTTTTGCTTAAACTATTTATTTTTTTAAACACTAATTGATGAATTAAATGTTTTTTCAAGAATAAAATTTTTCGATTTTTTTTTGTTTTTGAGTTTAATTTTTTTAAATGGCAACCCACTAAAAAAAATGTTTCCTATACTATCCCAAAAGCAACTGTGTTAGAGAGTATCTACTTTTTATTAGTTTGAAAAAAAAATACATAAATTACAATTTTGACAAAAAAATCGCATAACTCAAAGCAAAACAAAATTTCGTTTTGAAAATACGATGAGATTTTTTATATTCATTTTTTTATATTAATTATTGTTTTCCAGAGGCAAATAATTAAAAAAAACCGTTTGGTTCTAAACTTCATATTCACCCTGTATAAAACGAATTTAAAAAGGAAACACTCAGCAGGATACTAATTGTTTTAGTCCGGTTTACGAATTTTTGGTTGTTTTCTCTTTAACATATTTTGTAATTGGATCATTTTTCTTAAACGGGCCAATTTTTAACTTGAACTGAAATTTTTAATCGAAATTTGTGATTTGAAGAAAATATGCACAAATATGCATTACTTCCTAAAATATGCACGTAGTTGCCAAAATATGCAAAATATGCATTTTTTAATTGGCTTATTTTAATCAAAAAACATTAGATATGCATAC